ATTCATTCTAAGGAGAAATTGAAGCCTACAATTAGTAGGAGTTACCACAGATGCTTTGTATTCAACCTAAGAAGTATTAGCATTCTGGTTGTGGCAAAGATTCGATTTCCTTTCTGAGAAACCAAACACTTTAAAAGCAGTAAACACTTCAGGGCTTACATGCAGCCCTTTGTCAAGTTACCTTTGCCTCAAGTGGACAGTGCTCAGAATGGCCTGATCTCCTCCAGGGGCCAATTTTGCCCATAATACAGGCTGCAGTTTCATCCAGTTTCCAAACACGTTGATTGTAGATAGCTACATTTATTATAACTGTTGAAAGGAAAGAATACTAAAGATTTTTTTTTTCTGGGAGGAGGCCATTTCATCTGCCTCAGATCTGTGGGCAATGAAGTACAGCATAACTTACCACTTCCTCTAGTCCTTAGAAAAGAGATATTAAAAATAACAATGATTTCTAGGAGATGACCAGCAATAGATACAGTTTTGGTGACTTTAAAAACATTGCACATGTAGTAATCTCCTTTTTACCGTTTTCTCCCTGAGTACAAAGAGGACCTGGAAGTATTTCACATTTCTACTAAGACACACATGCCCCACGCCCCCTCTCTCCATTTCTGAGACAGTATGTTGTTACGGAGAACGGAGTGTGAAGAACGTGGGAAGAACACTTTTATTTATTTTGTCTGTTGGTGCTGGCTTCAGTAAGATGTGAAGTTTTTTTCTCAGATTTTTGCGTGCACAAGAAGCATCTGGGATATATTAACAAGAATATTTCTAGACTTGACTCCCAGAGATGGGATCCTTCTGGAAATGCCCATGATGAAGATGCCATGGCTCTTGGATATTTAATGAACACTGTCCGCCAGTCTGGCTGCATTCAGAAAGGTGGGCTGTTGCTAGAACAGCTTTCCTTTTCCTACTTGCTGCCCTATCGGTGCCTTGGAACTTCTTATTTCTAGGCTTCTTTCTCCTGATGTTAAATCCTTCTGCTGTTGAACCTTTAAAGGCAGATGGAAGAGAAGAGAAGCAGATTCACTGAATACTTTCATGTCAGAGAATAAGACTCTTGACAACTCTGGAAGGGGTCCAGACATGAAATTTTCTTCTCTTGTTTAGCTAAAGAATATAGAGTTGCTGGTGGCAATGCTTTCTGAGGTGGAAAGGAAAACAAATGTCCTTTTTCTATCATCCTTCCACACACCAATCTCCTTCCTGGGCTTCCTGTGGACTGTACACAGTTCAAGGCCACATTAGCCTGGAACATAAGCTTGGTTGGGGACATGGAGCAAAGCGGGGGGGGGGGTGCAGATTAAATCTGAAGACAATCAAGGATAAATTTATTTTGGCCTAGTGGAGAATCAGGACTAGTGTACAGTCCAAGATGACTACATGGGTAGGTAAAACAAATCTTGAGAAATGGGAAGACAGCTCCACTCAGAGAAGAGAGGTTCCACACTGCTCTAACGATAAGGGAAAGAAAGAGCTACCAGGGTTCTTTCTACAGGTACACCAGAGAAAGGGGACTTAGGCGCAGGACTGCCCCTCATCTCAGTGATAAGATTGACATTTATGAGAGGAAATACCGCAAGTCACATATCAGACCCACACCGATCTCTCAGTAGATCTGAGCCTGGCGCACACTGCTCTCTCCTGCCCTTGTTTCAGACTAAAGTCTATTTGGAATGTCTCATCTCTCTGTGTGTCAGTGTGATTAAAATGCTACAGAAAACTGTGATTGGATCCTGTGGGGGAAGTTAAAAAAACAAAGCATTAAATCAGCTGTCTAGTTAGGAATGAAAAACCCGAGCAGATGTGCCTTGGTGAATGTTTATTTTCTATGGAAAAATAAATTCAGTTCATGCTTCAGGCTCCCTTCTGGACTATAAGGCAGTGGATTTGGAGTCAGGTGCTGACTAAAGATGTGGAGTTGTTGCTTTCAATTTATGAAGCTCTTTTAGGGCCAGTGTGTAAGAAAATCTGTGGTGTTTGCCTAAAACCAACTAAGTGAGGATTATGAGAGCCACAGTCTGCATGAGGCTCCATAAATTCATATCATGGTGAGTTCTCCAAAGGGATCAGGCCACCCCTGCAGAGATGACTTCATAGGCCCTACTCAGCAGTTCATCCAGGTGCCCTGCTAAGAAGACAGGCTGCATGTTGCAGAAGCCTGGCCACACACCTTCCCAGAAACACCCAGAATGTTTGTTGTGGCAATTATCACAGATCCACAGAACATTTCTGGAGTGAGCTAGTGTTATTGTTACTTTTTTACATACCAAGGTCTTGTGTTTCAGACAGATACTAAGATACTATTTTTTTTTAAAAGAGAGATATGCATAGTACCAAGAAGAATGGGACAGGATCTCCTGAGAAGATTGGGAACATGGGAGGAGGGGAGGGGGAGCATGCAGAAAGAGAGAGGGAGAAGAGTAGGGGAGAGGAGGACATGCCAGAGCAGTAAAGTTGAGTCTGGGAAAGAATAGAGTAGAGCAGGATGAGAGATACCATAATAGATGGAGTCATTATAGGTTTGTGGAGAGATCTGGCACTAGTGAGATTTCCAGAGATCTACAAGGATGACACCAGCTGGCAAATTAAGCAATAGTGGAGAGGGTACCAGATACTATCTTCTGATTTTGTTTCTTGACTGAGGATATTAGCAAGATATTTGAGCTGACAGTAGTATATCCATCCTCTGTGTGTGTTGTCTGTTTTGTTTTACTTTTTTGTTATTGTTTCCCAGCCTTTTATTTAAAAAAGATCTACATGCTGCTTGCCCATTTATTCCATCATTTTGCACTTGAAAAAGTCATGATTCCCTTATTAGGAAACTTTTGCGAAGCCCTTGGCTATGATTTATCATATGTTACATGGCCAGATAGAGATTCTTAGGAAGCAAGGTCCATTTGTTTCTTGTAAGGTCATTCCTCCACTGTCCTTTACAAAATGAGTACATGACCACTTGTGCATGGTCCAGGTTGAAGCATTCTTTGGAATGATTTAAAGGAGATAGAAGGCATGATTGGCATACAAGGAATAGCTCACAAGCCCCAGACAGGCAATCTACAGGTTGTTAGAAAGTCTATAGCAGCCGTTACATACAAATCACTTTTAATATTTAGTTCATAAAGATGAGCATTCCCTAAAATACTTAGAATTATCTTATATTTACATTCTGTGGTAGTTTAAAAATGCTTGGATGTGTTATGTATACATGTTTTCATCCTTTCCTTCAGTTTCTTAGAGACATTAACCAGTTCTGAAAACAAGGAATTGATCAAGTGCACATAGAGAGGCAAGGACATGGTCTCTGTGTGTATGTATCTCTATCTCTGTCTCTTTCCCATACACACACACACACACACACACACACACACTCTCTCTCTCTCTCTCTCTCTCTCACACACACACACACACACACTCATGACTATAGATTCAAAATAATCATTTAAATTTTTAGAGCAATCATATCCATACTAGTTAGCACTGGATAATATTTAGTTGAAATAATAGGCACTTTGGTAGGAAAAACAGAGTTATGAAGTCAAGAAATTTATTTTTGTATCTGAGAAGATATTTTGAGGCAGATAACTTTCGATTACTTTGTATTTGTGTGATGCGGGTAAAGGCAGATGTTAGATCATAAACATTTACTATGACCATATGATTTGTACAATATCATTATTTTCTAAGTATATAATATCAACCATGTAAAATATATTTTCTGATCTCTCTGGATATCTTCTTACCTCAAACATTAATTAAAACCACTTGCTCTAATCTCATGTGTATATGCGCTTACATTTATTGTTGAGAATGAGACATTGAACAAGACAGCGTGTTTCACCGCACATAGTTTTCAGGTATTGTGAATCTCCTGGCATTAAGCAATAATGGTAGGATAGAAATATTTAATTAAATGAGAGGAGACACATGTGAACAAAAATTCCAACGATAAAACCATGGCTTACATAAAACCTTGGGAAAATTCCCTGAAAGAAACCACCTACACTGAACCTTCTTCAAGACTGGTTAGTGCTTCAGTGATCATGGAGGTCTAGAGCCTGATTACAGTTCATCTTGGACTAGCGTTAGTCCCCTCAGTAGACATTACCTTGCCTACCTATGTGGCTGTGTCCTTGTGCTTTATCAAGTCAAATCTTTGGGAATGTACTAGCTCATCAGGTCACTAACCTCCATCAATTCAAAGACTGAGAATATTGTCAGATATAGCATCTGGGGCCCAAGCAACGATTTCCTAGCTTTGATGTAATCACCTGCTTGATGCTTCTCCCAATGTATTTGGAAACTGCCATAACTCCACAGAATAGTGACCTCCATATGTAGGATGTGGTGTGTATATTTCCCTTCCCTCTCTCTCTCCCTCCCTCCCTCTCTGCCTCCCTATCTCCTTACCTCCTTCCGTCCCTTCCTCACTCTCTCCCTCCTTCCCATAACACACACACACACATACACACACACACACACACACACAGAGTAAACAAAATTTAAAAAGAGAAAATATTATATAAATGTATAAATGCTCAGGTCTGATCTTGTATGAGCTACTACTTATTGTGGAGTAAGAAGCACGCATTACAGAGTTACAGTTTTGCTTTTAGTTTTCAATATATGATGCTGTTCAAGATTTAAGAAACTCTAGTGAATACATTCCCTTGTCTGTGTTTGGAAGAGAAAAAGGTAGAAATGTGTATGCCATCAGCTTGATGAACCTGTGAGTTTTCTGGCTGTATGATGGAGTTCACAGAGTACCTCCTGAAAGGATGGAAATAACTCGACACAGGAACATGGCCTTTCAACAGCAGACACAGCTTTACGCCACACGTTATTACTTCTTGTAAAAGCTGCCATTCCCCTTTCTCATCTCTAGATCATCAGATGACAGCTCTGGCAGGAACAAATAGCAGGTGGGATGACATGTATTTGTGGACCGGAGGTGATAGGTTGGCTCTAACATATTGCTTTGTCTCTTTTTCCAGACTTGCCTTCCCTTTTTAGGCTCAACACCTCTTCTTAACATAATGATTAGATTCAAGACCTGCAATTCAGTCAAGATGCAGTCACAGGTCACTGTTCTCCTATTATCACAGCTGGGCAGCAATCCTCGTTTTCTTCTTCAAGAACAGCGAGTGTATTCATCTCAGTCGTGCCATCCTGGGCAATGTCAAACACCCCTCACATTCTTTCTCGAGAAGCTGGTCTGTTAGGCTTCTTTGTTTTATATTATTTCAGAGTCCATGAGGCATGTGTCAAATGTCTCCTTTTAATTTTTCTATGTTTGCCTGAGAGGTCAGTTCCAACTGGATATGATCCCAGCAGCTGAAAATGGAATATGGAGGTTTCAGAACCATGGGCACAGAGAATGGAAATTTGAAGGGCAACATAATTGCCCAGTTTTCACCTATCTATAGGCAAAAGTAGGTAATGTTCCTCACACAGCTGTGCCTTAAGCAACAGAGAAAGACTCTCTTTATCATATGCATGTCTCTTAAGACTGATGACTATAATTGTTGGAGATTTGGAGCATAGTAAACTAGGCCAACTTTTGGAAAAATCTGCCTTACTGATTAATGGGCAAAAGGAAGAGAAATGGGTTCATTGTTTCTACATCCATGTAATCCCAGATCTTGGGACATGAAAGAAGATGTATCAGGTACTAGGGGCCACACCTTTAGATACATAGAATTTCAAAGACAGACTGGGTTGCATGAAAACCTTTTAGATACATAGAAATTTCAAGGCCAGACTGGGTTACATGGAAGCCTATCTCAAACAAAACAAACATAAATAAATTTTTAATAAGGAAATGAAAATAACTCTGTAAAAGCACTGTGACCTCTGAATGGGCTTGGAAATCTTAGGGTTGTAGCCATTAGTATAAGATGATGTTTTATTAGCATTTGGTTCCCCTTTGAGAAACACCCATGCTAAAATAATCATAATGATAGGAAACTTCCAGTAAAGAAATCTGAGACAATATATGCACTAAATAGGGTTCTTTGAAATTTTTTGAATAATTTTCTTTTTTAATAAAAAAACAATTAATTATACAATGACTGTAGCAAAAATAGTTTACTTATCTCTTTAATACCATATTTTTAATGTCTGAGAAATTTATACATTGTGTTTTGATCATATTAACCCTTTATTCCTATACTCATCTCAGATTCATTTATTGCTCCTCGCCCCTCCCAAATTTGTGTTTCTATTTGCTTGTATTCCACTGAGTCTAATTGTGATACCTATATTCTCATGGATATGAGGTCATCCTTTGGAGCATGGAAGGCTACACCCTTAAAGAAGCTACCAACTATCAATAGGTCCTTAGCTAGGGCTAGGGACTCATGAGCCTTTCTTCCCATTCTGCTAGACTGTTTTGGGGTTTGTTCAGGTCTTGAGCAGGCAACCACAACTGCAGTAGCTCATCATTTTATGCATTTTTAATGAGTGAGCACAATGTGACTGCTTCCCATTTATTATTCAACAGGCACCAGCAAAGTTTCAGGCTCTTCTCCAGTTTCAGAATTGATTTTGCTTTGACACAGCTACATAGAATAAAGAAACCCTTTTGAATATCCTTAGATATTCAAATTTTCATTGCCATAGTGACTTCCTAGCCCTGAATGGTAGCTCCTCTTAATGGTTTGATGCTGTGGTGGTTCCAGAGACAGAATGACTTGGACTTTTGTCACGAATAATGTTGGTACACCTGAGCAGCTATTTCTCAACCTTTGTTTCTAGTAGATTGGGTTGTACTGTTCTTCCTGATAACTTGAACAATCTTGCCCATAGACACTGGAGTGCTGCTTTGCTTTGAAGCATGAGATTATTGTATGTTGGCTACATTACAAATAAATTTAACCTCAGTCATCCACATTCATTCTGTGTTACCTCATATTCCCCACCCCCTTCTATCTGATTTTAAAAATTACTTTAATTGGAACGACTCCCACAATTTATGTACTTAGCATTGCCATGGATACTAAGTCATTGACAAGGCTCTAAGCATGGACCAAGTGGGGGCATAGCTCGGGGTAGAGTCCCTGCCTAGCATGTTAAGGCCCTAAACTAAATCCATAGTATGTGCACACTGAGTGGTGGTAGTGGTGGTGAGAATATAATACAGCTTCTATTTCATTCTTTTGCTTTGCTAAATACACTTCTTTCAGCAGTTCAGTAATATATGTGACACCTCCATTCTAGTTTCTACGGAGGCTATATAACTTAACAGGACCACACAGAGAGTAGGGAGCTTAACTTGTCCTTTAGTCATCACTCTGTATTGTACTGACTAACATATACATGGAGACAATCATATCACAGGAGACACCCATGTAAGATTTTTAAAAAATTGGTGGGGGGGCTGGGAGGGCTGGGTGGAGGAGAGAGAGAGGGATCTGGGATTGACATGTGACGCAAGCTTGCTGCTAATTTAAATAAAAAAATCTTTATGTAACTACCAAAACACATATTAGGCTGAGTATATCTGTCCTAAAAGATATTGTAGTCAGAGTATTTAATAATTGATTCATTTTTGTCAATAAAAACTCAGTTCTGATTATTTTCTCATTGAAATATAATGTGCACAAACCAACACAAAGTGGCAACTCAATGGAATGCAACTAACCACCTCCTAGATGAAAAGACACAGAACATTTGTAGCTCTAGTGTGCTCCTTTGGAGTCTGTAGTGCCCCTTGCAAGGTTGTTGCTATTTTGACATTGTCAGTCTTCAATTAGTTTTTCATGATCTGAACACCAAACTAGTATAACTAGAGTGTGTGCTATGTGAACCATTTGGTATGAAACTGCAGCTAGTGCTTTTCTGCTCTACTCTCTGAGGACGCCACCCTTATTATCAACCCCATGTTGATAAGTTTAGGTATTAATCTACATCATAAATGTGTTTACTATCGTTGGTTCATAAGCACATTTAGGTACATTTTGAAAGCACAGTCACATCAGATCCTGACATTTTGGCCTACATGAGACATACCCTTGTGCTGGTTTGAGATATGTCTCACTTGCTTCACATCTCACTGACCCAAATGTCAACAAATCCACCATTGCCTGCCATGATGAAACCTAGTGCTTAACATGAGAAATACATATGTTTCCCTTTCAAAAGTATTTCTTTAAAAATCTAGTCAATCCATAACTCCCATAGGGAAACTCAAGGAATAATGTGTATGGACATTCCAAACATAACCTCATAGCTCCATTATCGCCCTTCACATTCTTGTTGAGCTCCCGGTTGCTTCTGAACTTCTTTGATGTCCTGAATCAGCATATTTATCTCCTTGGGATCTGTGATCCATACACTTCTGTGTTATACCTTTTGATTTCACTTTCTGATTGTGACACCTCCCCACAACCTCACAACACATCGTACCAAATACATACTGTAACGGATGTTCTTCCCGCCAGCCTGGTCCCAGTGCTGCATCAAACCAAAATAACAGACAGAGACTCTATTCATTACAATGCTTTCGGCCAATGTCCAGGGCTTCTCATTGGCTAGTTTTGTCTTAAGTATTAACCCATGAATGCTAATATATATTTCTATAAGGACTTATCTTTCCGAGGACAGCATCCTGATGCATCTTCAGTTCCCCGGGGTTAACATGGCGACTTCCCACATTTGACTACATTTCCCAGAATCGTCCTCAATTCCTACTTCCACCTATCTTGGTTCCTTATTGGCCAACAGTGCTTTATTCATTAACCAGTAAGAGAGCCATATACACAGAAGGACTTCCCCCATCAACATACCACATACACACACCACACTACATATGCCATATCATACATACCACATACAAACACACACACACACACACACACACACACACACACACACACACACACACCTTAAGTCCCAATGCTTCCAACCCCTTTAACATCCTCAAACTTTTCTACAGTATGGCTATCATAGCGTAATGGCCACTATTACTTGAAAGGCTTCAACCAAATTAAAAACAAATCATTACATAACATAAGCTAAATTTGACTGTTCTGAATAAAGATTCTATGAATATTTTTGAAAATGTTTTCTACTCGACTCAAAATATTGACTTTTTGTGTATGTATCAAGGAGAAAAGCTGGCAAGCTATAAAGTTATGTATTATATTTTAGCTTTCTTCATATGTTGTCCACAGTTTTTCAAGATGTTTAAATCAATAATGCCCCTGCCAGGCATATTTTAGAACTTATATGGTAAAATTTCCACTAGGCTTTGCATTAACAATACTTTTAATTTAAGGCATTCCATTCTAGTGATTGAAGACTGGGAACTAACTGAATATTTAAACTGAATATACCTGACAGATGATTAATTTCCAGAATATATAAATAACTCCAAAAAACAAAGAGTAAAAATTACTCATTTGATAACTGGATGCAGGAATTAAACAAACATTCTCAACATAAGAAAAAAATGGCCAAAAATATCTCAAAAATTCTTTGTCCTTATAAGGGTATGGAAAGAGAAAAAAAGAGAGAGAGAATTTAGAGGGAGGATAGTGGTGGAGATGATGATGTAGTTATAATTTCAAAACCAAAAAATAATTTTAAAAAGTCAATCAATTTCAGAGGCTGGTAAGATGGCTAGGAAGGTAACAACTCTTGCCATATAAGCCTGATGAATTATATTCAATCCCGGGAATTATAGTAAAGGTGGAAGGAGAGAGCTGACCCCAAGAGCTATTCTTTAACCTTCACACGTGTCCGTGGCACATGGAAGACCACACATATACATCATATACGCATAATAATAATGATAAATAAAAGAAAGAAGAGTAAGGAGAAAAAGATTTTTACTTCTCAAAGAGAAAATATATAATTTCCATAAAATTAATGAAGTCTAGTAATTTAGGCTGAGAATAAATTGTTATGAACCTTATCTTGACTGCTTTTAGTTTTGAAGCAAACTTAAATGGGATTTTAGTCTGACATGTGTGATCATTCCTCTGAAAACGCAGTAATAAAATAGAAAAAGTGAGATTCACTAAGCAATTTGAGAGGTGCAGTTGCTACTAATAAAGTACATTAATTGAGATTAAGATAAAATGAATTTGACCCCTTAATCATACTAATTGAACCTTCTGGCAATTATTTAGCTCAAGTGTCAGTTGAGATTCTTCGTCCGATGAAAAGGATTGAGTTATCTCTTTATGTTTTCCAGGCATGAATTCCCTTTTAGGTGTGTGTATTGTGAATACTATTTCTAAGTATTCTGCTAGCTTTTTCAGTTACTTAATGCCTTGTATAAATATTTATTCTTAATTTTAATAAGTAAGTTTTATCAAATGTGTTTTATGTTTAGTGCATTTTATTCTTGTATAAGAAATTTTGCTCACTTGACTGTCATGGATATTTTATTTTCATGTTTTTTCTAAAACTTTCCATAATTTCTTGGTCTATTAAAACTTTAATATTCCCCAATTTTTAATAGACCTGCTAAGTTAAAGGAAACACATAGCAGTTTTCTTTAAGTATTTAGGCTCAAACAATGTAATAAGGATTTATGTTCTTAAAGCATGAGGTGTTTTGAAAAATAATGAAAATTCAGCAAAAAATATTTCATTTCAAACTTAAGTAAGCATGGTACCTTAATAATGGGATTTTTGTTTCTGCGTTGCACCATGTCTTAATGCTTGAAACTGAACCATACACCAACATTTCTATGCCCATTCCTATGTTAATTTTTGCACACCACTTGCTTTTTATTATAGACACCATTGAACACTGTACTTCTTGGAAAGAGAGGTGATATTGATTCTGACTACTGACAAAATGGTGACCTAAGTTCTCAGCTTGAAGCTGAAGTTCTAATTACACTACTCCAAATAACAGCAGGAGTAATAGGAGCAACATTTGGTTGATATTCCCCTTAAAGCCCCCATTCTTCACTTTAACATTTAAAAGGGCTAAAGACCCTTTGCTTTTAAAAACCACTAATTTACATTAAGAAGAAACAAACCCCCTCCGCACCAGCTTTGGTGTATGGTGAGTATAGTTACTATGGAGGCCAAAATTTCATATTTAACAAGTATTTACAAACATTTGCTGTATGTTGCATACCTCTCTAATACTTTAGAGCTCTACATTGAATACAGACCTAAAACATTGAAATTTAAGGGTTAGTATTTGAGTTTCAGCTAAAAACAAAGAAGCAGTCCAAAGCCCTGAGAATATTGACCTTCAGCTGCTGCCGTGAGCTCAGTCCTTTAACTGAAGCATTCACTTTTCCATAGGAATAATCAAGGCTTGAGGTGAAACAACTTAAAACAGATAACACGGTGAATTTTCATTTCCATCTCCTTATTCAGAAGAAAGTACCAAACACCCTGAAAGTTTGCCATGATTGGTCTTCTTCACAAGTGATTGTTTTCATAGACTGTAGAGGCTGCAATTATGATGTCAGCACTGGGCCCGTAATTCACCTTCATGTTTAAGCTAAATGTGCAAAGAGCAGAACAAAAGCATTGAGTTTACTTCATCTAGCACACTGACATCTAAATGCTACAAGTTTCCAAGCTTTTACATTTCTTATGATTTGATTTTAATAAAACTTTGCAGGTGTGTGTGGAAATCTGAATAAAAGAAAGACACGTCTACGTTAAAGTAATTGAAGTCATGGTTTATTAGCTGTCCAGATAAAGCTATTTTCGTCTTTAAATGAATGAAGTGTTCTCTCTCTCTCTCCCTCCCTCCCTCCCTCCCTTCCTCTCTCCATTCCCTCTCCTCCCTTTGCTTCTCCTTCCTTCCTTTCTCCTTCTCACCTCCTCTCTTTTGATTTCTCCTCATCTCCTCTCTCCTTTCTCTCTAATTTAAAAACAAAATATCTCCATCTTTGTAGGATATTGTATCCCC